CCACAGAGTCGAATGCTCTCCGCTCTTTATCTCAACTCAACTCAACTCAACTTTATTTATAAAGCGCTTTCAGTCAGCCAAAGCTAAAATCAAAGCGCTGTACAAGTCATTTGAGCAGATCATAAAACACAATTTATCTGATATTTTCTTTATTCTCCTGTTGAGGTTTCGGATCCTTTGTTGAGAAGACGGTGATGCCTTACATCAGCACCACGCCAGCGCGGCTGCTCAACCCCTGCACGGGAAACCAGAACTGCACCAGCCCCTTCAGCTACAAGAACGTCCTGGGGCTGACCGAGAACGGGGACGAGTTCAATCAGCTGGTCAGTCAGCAGCAGATCTCAGGGAACCTGGACTCCCCCGAGGGGGGGTTTGATGCCATCATGCAGGTGGCGGTTTGCAAGGTGAGAGGTGCTTTCTGTGGTTCCTGGGGCATTTGTCTGAGTATTTTTCTGTAATCTCAAACTCTGTTTATATCCAATGGAAGCTTATACCTGTGGTTATTAATCAGAGATGGAAGCATCACACCAGCTGACTTTAGGCCAAAGGGACTGAGGACCAAACACAGAAAAAATGTTGATACTTTAAAAAGAATTAACTCCATATAAGACTTCTCCAAAGTGGGTAAAGGGAAATGCAGGTTTTACACAGCAAACTCCTCTGAGCTTTCCCGTAGTTGTTTTTCTATGAGCTTTGGCAGCAAAATATTAAAGGTAAGGCAGGATTTCTAAGGTAGTCTCTGGAACCTGAAGCATAACTTTGGTCTTCTTTTCTGCTGGTTCAGTAAAACTCTGTGAAACTTTCCTTTTTTGGACTCTGTGGGATAGTTTATCTGCTCACAGGCTGGTTTTCCATCAGCTGATCCCAGCTTTGTGTTTGTTCAACTGCTTTCTTGTTTGAACTGGACATAAATATAGTTTCTGAGTGTTTAGCAGAGTCAATATTTCTAAATGAGTTTTGTATGACTTCCATAAATATGCTAACCCAGCAGTATCCAGGTTCAACCTTCCATATATGACTTAATGAGTTAATATATGAGTCAATAACACATTAATGAGGTGTTTTTTGTGTAAATCCCAGTCTCAGATTGGTTGGAGGGACGTGACCCGTCTGCTGGTGTTCTCCACTGATGCCGGTTTCCATTTTGCTGGAGACGGAAAACTGGGCGGCATCGTCCTGCCCAACGACGGGAAATGCCACCTGGAGAACAACATGTACACCATGAGCCACTACTACGTATGTAGCGCCCTGGGAGAGTGGACTGAATGGGCCGTCTCCTTCCTGGAGATATTATCTGAACTCTGTGTCTGTGTTTGGTAGGACTATCCCTCCATCGCCCACCTGGTTCAGAAGCTGAGCGAAAACAACATCCAGACCATCTTTGCTGTGACTGAGGAGTTCCAGCCTGTTTACAAGGTCCAGCATGATGGAAATGTGGAGCTCTTCTCATGATATGACTCCATGTTAAGATGCATGGATCAAAATGCTCATCGGGTTTTTGTTGTTCTTTTATTTTGTTCTCAAACAGGAGCTGACCAATCTTATTCCCAAGTCAGAAGTTGGCACTTTGTCCTCCAACTCCAGCAATGTGATCAATCTCATTATTGATGCCTACAATGTAAGTCTACTCCTCAGACTGCCAAAAGTCTTAATTAAAGGTCTGGAAATAAGATCTAGTGCCTTAAACTCAAAATCTGTCCTAATTTTGATATTGTTCTTTTTTTTTTTTTTTGTAAATACGTCTGAATGCATTTTGGGTCAAATTTACACAATCGCAAAGAAAACCGCTTTAAAATAACTATACCTAATCATTTGTTCATTTGTCAAAGGTTTGACATTTCTAAGATAAAGAAAATGTATAGGGTTTTTTGGTCATTTAAGTCTGATCTTTCATCATTCACTATTGGTAAAACTGTATCTTAAATATATATATTTTTAATGCACTGGTTGTTTAAATGAGGTGAATCCAGATTATTTGTAGTTTTAATGATTTAACTCTCTGTTAAATTAGCTATTTTGGTAAAAATGAGCTTAACAATAATTTGGAACACAGTTTAAAGTAAAGTATTATTCTTTCCAGTC